GAGCGGCGGGCGCGAGGCGGGTGGCCGGGCTCATGCCGAACCACCTTAGTCCAAAGGGAAATAAAACTCCTCGCCTCCTTATGACCAGCAAGGGGGCCGGCGGGCGGCCTCAGGGCCCTTCTGCCCTGCTGAGTCCGGCCTGGGGACGGCCCGCAGCCGCCCCTCCTGGCTGGTGTGGAGGAAGGCGGGCAGGGGGTCGCGCGGCTGGCGCTGGTCTCGCTGGAGATGCCCCAGCGGGGACAGGGTCCCGCGTGAGGCCCACTCGGAGGCCGCTGGACACTGGGCGAGGCTGGCTTCCGGATAGGGAGGAACCGACCCGACTTCCCTGCCCTCTCGGGGTGTCTGTCCCTTGGCATAGCCTTGGCAACTGCCCGTAGACCTCTCCGGAAGACACCCGGCTGTGCCGCTGCAGAGGGCACTGACCGCGCCTTGACCAGGGCGGTGACGGCCAGCTCTGCTGAGAACCCCCCTCCCCACAGCCTGCAGAAGAACAGCATCGGGCCGGTGGGCACCCAGCGGATGGCGGACGCCCTGAGGCAGAACCAGAGCCTGAGGGAGCTCATGTGAGGCCGCACACGCGGGGGCGGGGGGCAGTGACGGGGTGGCGGCCTGCGTGGTCGGCAGGGGTGGGTGCAGGCTTCGGACTGCACGGCGCTGGCCGGAGAGTGGGACCCAGAGGCGCAGGGCTGGGTGGACCCCAAGTGTCTGGGCCGCACATTTCCTGCATTTCCCGCGCCCTTCTGCTAAGGGGCCACACACAGCTGTCACTGGGCAGGCAGGGGTGGGCCCCGCGGCCAGCGGGCCTCAGGCAGAAGCCGCGCAGTGCGGGCCCTGGGGTCAGTGAGGGCCCGGGACCCTGAGCCCCACACCGCGCCCTCCCCCCCAGGCTCTCCAGCAACAGTATCGGCGATGGCGGCGCCGAGGCCCTGGCCAAGGCCCTGAGGGTGAACCAGGGCCTGGAGAACCTGGAGTGAGTCCCGCTGGGTCCCAGCCGGCAGGTGGCAGGCCTGGGGGTCCGTCACCCAGGGCCCTGTCTGCAGATGTCACCCAGACCCCAGACAGCAGGCATGTCGGTTCTGGGGTGCCCTGGGTGACGACCTCACGAGGTCCCTGCGGACCTGGTGAAGGCGACTGAGGAAGGGTTGGCCGCAGCGGCCTGGGTGTGGCGGGGACCCTGCTGATGGCCCCCCGCCACGCCCCCTGCTGCACCAGGTTCAGGCAGAGTCTCCACCTTGGGGAGGGGGTGGGGATGGGGAGTGGGAGGCTGGGCTCTCTGGCCCCGGCTGGCAGGGGTTGGGATGTGGGGCTGGCACGCGCCCCCGAGTCCCCGTGTCCGGGTTGGGCCCAGGGCCACGGTTCCGCCAGGCCCTGGACAGCCGCACTGGGCACCTCCTCCTCTACAGCCTGCAAAGCAACTCCATCAGCGACGCGGGGGTGGCGGCACTCATGGGGGCCCTCTGTGCCAACCGGACCCTCCTCAGCCTCAAGTGAGTCCCTGCCACGCTGCTGGGCACAGAGGCCTGTGGGGGGGGGGCTGGCCACGCCCTGCAGGGACCTCTGTGGTCAGCCCCGGAGCCCAGCAGTGACACTCTTCCGCGGCGCCCTTCCAGCAGCCCCCGCCGCCGGCTGGGCCCCCGGCCCCACGCCCCCCCGGCCCAGGCCTCATCCCATTCCTCCCGACCTGTCCTGTCCTGTGGCCATGCCGCCCACCCACTTCTGTCTGGCCAGCAGCTCGGTCTTCTTTCTCCTCAGCCTTCGAGAAAACTCCATCAGCTCAGAGGGAGCCAAGGGTCTGGCCCGCGCGCTCTGCACCAACAGCACCCTGAGGAGCCTAGAGTACGTGCCCACGGCGCCCTGGCCACCCGCCCCCGCGGACCCCCACCCCCATCACGACCGCCGGCCGCAAGGGCAGGGCAGGGGTCCGGGTGGTGGTCCCCCCGAGCACCGGGCGCACGTGCGGGCCTCACGGCGGGGCCCAGCTCCCGCTCACTCGCCCCCTCCCTTCCTCGCAGCCTGACGGCCAACCTCCTCCACGACCAGGGTGCCCAGGCCCTGGCGGTGGCCGTGAGAGAGAACCGCGCCCTCACGTCCCTCCAGTGAGTGCCCACTACACGCCGGCGGGCACAGGAGGCCAGTCCGGCGTCAGGGTCTCCCAGGGGTCTCCCTGAGGCTGACCCACGGGGCCGTGGCGGGAGGGGGCGCTGTTCGCCTGGGCCACTGGGGCCTGGCGGGGCCCCGGCTGCTGGGCTCGGCCGGCCACGCGGTCACGAAGGCCTGTGTCCACCCAGCCTGCAGTGGAACTTCATCCAGGCCGGCGCCGCCCAGGCCCTGGGCCAAGCACTGCAGCTCAACCGGAGCCTGACCAGCCTCGAGTAAGTGGGGCCGCAGCGGCCGGCAGCGGCGGGCTCTGAGGCCCCGGCGCTGCAAGGGCAGCCGCTCCGGCCTGCCGGGTGTCCGTCCTCTGCGTCTGCTTGTGCTGAGCTGCAGCCCCATTCCGAGCTCGCGGTTCACTGCTCTCTGGCTCAGAGCCGCACGACCATCCCCGTAAATGTGCAGGGGTCCCCAAAGGAGCCCCTCCCCGCGAGCCGTCCTCCTCACCCCCACCACTGCCGATGCCCGCCTGCCCCGGGTGTCTCCGTACACACGGCGCGTTGGGGACGAGCACCGCCCAGCGGGTGTGATGCCGGCCGGGGTCATCGGGCGTCAGACCCCGGCCTCCCTTTCCACGGGTGAATGATCCCCGTGGCACAGGGGGCACATTCCGCTCTTCCTGCCGTCCGCCGATGACTCTGGGTGGTTTCCACGTCTCGGCTGATGGGAGGAAGCAGCTGGGGACACTCGTGCACAAGTTTCTGGGGACACATGCTGCCGTGTGTCCTGCACGTCCGGGCCCGGGAGGGGCATCCTGGGCCCCACTGTGACCCCACTAACCTTTATCCCTGGCGCTGCCCCTCGCCTCGCGGACCCCCCGGGCTGGTGCTTCTGTCCAGCCTGAGACGCTGTGCCCCTCTTCTCGTGAGTGGGCGGCTCCCCGCCGGCAGCTCCCTTCTCGGGCTCCAGTTTCCTGCAGTCTCGGCCCCACAGTTAGACCCCAGAACTCTCCCCGGGCTCCTGCCGTGCGCCCCGTCCGCGTCTCGGTTCCCCGCCTCA